TTTATTTATTTATCTACTAATTGTTTATTGTATTTGTTGTTGTTGTTGCAAAAAACCTTAAAACCTTTTTTTTTTTTGTTTATAATTAAATAATTATTTCGTTTTCTAAGAGTATCATCAACAATTATTATTATTCCATTGCATTTTTTTTTTTTTTTTACAGTTGTTGCAACCTTGCATTTTCTTTTCATTCCGTTCCAAAAGTAATTTTTTTTTTAAGGTAAATAATATATAATTTGTTATAATGATAATAATGATAATAATAATAATAATAACCTCTTCCTTTTATTTCCCTCACACGCGATATTCTTAGAAAAAAAAATTTTTTTTAATCACGTTTTAACTTTTTCATGTTTTTTTTTTTTCGGCCGTAAATTTTACTATTATTATTATTATTATTAATTACGTACATAATTATTTATTTATTAAAAATTAACGAAACATTTAACCGAAGTCAAGCCGTTTGTTTGTTTGCAACGACGACAAACACAACGCAAAAATAATAATAATTTTTTTTATTTATTAATTTATTATTATTATTATTATTATTGTAAAGAAGACATTAGCGAATTATTTATTAATTAATTATTTATTTATTTATTACAAAAATTTATAGAAATTACTTTATGGTTACTTATTATTATTATTATTCGTATTTAATTTATCCTTGACTTTTTTTTTGAACTCTACCAACCATAACTAATTTATTTCTTGATTATTAGTTTCGTTTATTATTATTATCATTATTATCATTATCATTATTATCATTATCATTATTATTATTATTAAAAAAACTACTTTCTCGTCGCGTACGTAGGTTTTCGATTATTATTATTATTATTTTTCCCCCCCATATTTTTCCTTACGTTATCCTGTCACAAAATGAAAGTCGAGAAATTATTAAAGAAAAAAATTGTTTATTTTTTTTTCTGGGAGGGTTTTCCCCTGCGTCGGTTTTTGATGACGTCATAAAAAATTGGGTAAACAACTATTGGAATGATTGGTGGATGGTGATGACCTCTCGAAGATTTTTTTTAAATGTGATGACGTCAATAATTTTTATTAAATGTAAAACGAACGACGACGACGACACGTTTTTTCTTCTCTTATTAACATAATTAATTATATTATTAATAAAATAAATTATTTTTATTTTATTATTATTTTTTTTGTTATGGATGTGCGTCGACGACGACGACGACTATAGGAGGTGTAATGGCAGTGAACTTGGCACGCACACACACACACAAAAATTAAAATTTTTAATCGTTAAACTAATTAAATATGCATTGCAATCCAAATCGAACACAAAACAAAAAAAAATTAATTAAATGCAAATAATTAATAAGTTTTGATTTGGTTTTTTCTTTTTATTTTTTTTCCGGGGGGAGTGTGGGGGAAGAGGTGGAAGAAGGGGAAGGGAAGTGGGTTATTTTAATTTACCTAATCCAAAGCCAAATTTTTTTTTTTGGGTAAAACGAGTCGAATTCAATCTAATAACCAAAAAAAAATTTTTTTTTTATTTACGTTAATTATTCATTTATTCTTAATATGATAATTATGGGGATTTTAATTTATTCCATATCCCTTTATCCCTTTTTTTCTGTTTTTTTTTTTTTTAAATCAAAAAATTATTATACTATTTAAAAAAAAAAAAAAATAGAAAAAAAAAAACAAAATTAGAACTTTTGATAAGATATCAATGACCCGAATATTGTTGTTGTTGTTGTTGTTCGTTTACTTTAAAAAAAAAAAAACCGTGAAAGATTTATTAATAATAATAATAATAATAATAATAATAATAATAATAATAATAATAATAATAATAATAATAATAATAATAATAATAACGAAACAACCATGTTTTTTATATAAATCGGGAAAAGTCATTAGATAATTTTCATTTTAATAACAAAATGATTTAATCGTATAAATTCATCTCACTCTCATGTTAGGATCATTTTTAAAAGGTCAATTCTATCAATAAAATTTTCTTCTGCATTTTTTTTTTTTTCTATAAAAAGATTATATGTGAAGTAACCTCAACAAGCAACAACAAACAACAAACAACAACAACCAACTCTTAATAAAAAAAAAAAAATAAATAATTATAATAAATAATCAATGATTAATTATTTACACTAATCCGACATTTTTTTTTATTATTTTTAATAAATTTTTCCTAATCAATCATAATGATAATAATAATAATAATAAATTTCTTAGAAGGTTATATATTTTCCCGTGAAAATTATTACAATTTAAAATTTTAAATTGTCATCGTTTCTTAATAAAAAAAAAAAAAAAATTTAAATTTCTTACTATTATTCGTTTGTGATTCGAATAACAATTTAAATGAAAAAAAAGAAAAATGGCGGACAAAAATCTTTTATATATGTCATTTTGCATTCGGTTGTTGTTTATATATATATATTTTTTTTTTCGTTACGTCAAAGTTAATGAAAATAATAATAATAATAATAATAATAAGAATCGAGTTTTCACGCGGCGACAGGTTTTACTAGTTTATTAATAATTAAATAGGCGTGTATACGAAATGTGAAAAATAAAATTTTTTTCTTTTTTTTTTATATAAGGAGAAGTTTTATCGGCTCACCTATTTTTTTATTAACTTTTAAACTAAAGTTTAATAATAATAATAATAATAATTTTATTACCGGTTTTTTAAAATAATAATAATAATTACCCAAATTAAAAATTTCATTTTTCCCTTTAAATTATAGTTTTAACCGTTCGATAAGAAATTTTTTTTATTAATTACTAATAATAATTACAATAATTTTTTTTTCAAAATTTAATTAATTAATTATGTAATTTATTAAGTTAGGTTTAATAACTTATTTATTTTTTTTACGTAAAAAAAAATAAAAATAAAAAAGGAAAATTACGAAAAGTTTAAAGTTGGAAAAAAAAAACTTTTGTGTAAAATTTGCAACTAGATCAAGTAAATTTTTTATTATTTATTATTATTATTATTATTATTATTATTATTAATGTAAAAATAAATAAATAATAATAATAATTTTTTTTTTTAAAGTGTTGGCAATAATGTCTCACATTAATTCTTAACTCAAACGTTCGAGTACATAAAAAAAATTCGAAAAATTAATTAAAATATCAAATAATACAATTAATTAATTAAATATAGCGCGAGTTTATGACGTCATTATTATCATTATTATCATTATTATTATTATGATTATTATTATTATTATGGCGATTTTATTTATAACGAATTTTTAACATGGGATATTTGTCCACGTCGAATTCAATGATAAATAAATTACTCTATTTACCTATTTTTTTTTTTTTTATGTTTTTACTCGAACATGCCAGGTATATTTTTAAAACCTGGTTGTGACTCGCTGGAGAACGTGTTGTTGAAATAACACAACCGGTTTTTTTTTTTTTTCCAGATAAAAAAAAAAAAAATGTTGATGATGATGATGATAATGATAATACGCGAAACCGGTAACGGGGGACCTTGGCGCTTCAATCCGAGTTAAAAAAAAAAAAAAAAAGTTTTTTTTTTTTAACTTGAAAAAAAAATTATTATTATTATTATTTGCAACGAATACGATCGATACGTTTTTCATTATCGAATTGTATTTATTGTTGTCCCCCCCCCCCCCCTCCCGAATCAAGGATAATATGCATTTCGTATTATTATTTTTTCGCCGCCCAAAAAAAATTATCATCATCATCACATTTTTAAAATAATAATAATAATATTTCAAATAAACATTTTATTATTATTTTTTTTTTATCAACGTAATTTTTCACCTTGATATTATTATTATTATTGTTATCATTATTATTATTAAGTATTTAATTAAATTGCTGGCATTTTAACATTTTCACGCGGTTGTTTTTTTTAAATAATTTTTTTTATTTATGCTTTACAGAAAAAAAAAAAATTTTAATTACTCGCTTTTTTTTTTTTTTAAGTAATAAAAAATTATAAAATATCGCGTGTAACTTTTAATGATAACCAAAAAAAAAAAAAAATCCAAGAGGAAACGTGTCCGAAAAAATAATAATGATTATAATAATAATAATAATAATAATAATTACCAGAAGATTT